CCCTGTATTTCATTGCATTTCTAGATCCTTGCTGAAGAACTGATTTCATCAATGAATCACACTTGGGGTCTAGCGGGAATGATTACAGAGATATAGTGTGTTCAAATCCAGATTTTTCAGCTCAAAATTTTTTTTGTCGAAACCATTCATTGTCGGTCAACACGGCTTACATGTCCCTGTTTTAACTTTAGATTTACTATCTACTGACATTTAATTGGAGCAGATACAGAGTGATTAGAATTCAGAATCTTGAACAAACAGTGACATGTGAGTCGTTTCGACCGATGATGAAAATTCCTAAAGTTGAAAAATCTCGATTGTGAACACCCATCTTTGTAATCATTCTGCAAGAACCCAAGTGTGATACATCGATGAAATGGGCCCAGCAGGGAGAATCTAAATATGCAATGAAATACAGGGTGTTCAATTTGAAAATCGAAAGCTGATGGCCGTTAGGCTTCAAGGTTTCAAGTTTGGAATATGATAATTGCAGAAAAATGTGTTCCCCGACAAATTGAAATCGACCTGTCCGAGCTGTTTTTCATTAATTGCAACACAACGGAGAAAACTTGGACCGTTGGACCGTTTCCGATCGGTCACCCGTATATGCAACTTCAACACAAATATGCGATTATTATGTGGTCAGGCCAACTTTCATGATATTATAGCCATAAGGGTAAAATTTCACTGAAAAGGTCCATTCGAATGCTGCCAACATGACATGACGTCATCACTTTTCGTTTGCAGTCTCAAGGTACGTTCATGCTTATGCGAAAATTTAATGGCGACAAAGAATACCAAAATACCATAATGTGAACTTTTTAGTTTATCACCTAGGCATTCTAGGCCAAGCAATGGCAAAACTGATTTGCCTGAAAACAAAAATACAGGAGTTTTGAAACTTGACAGTCGAGTACATATACACGTCTGGCAAGAATGATTTTCCCATAGAGAAACCGTGTACGAGCGTCGTTGCCCCACCTACTTGAGTGTGGCACGTGTGGCAAACGATAATCTCTTCGGTCGGACCGAAAAATTGACTCGCTCGAAGGAGGGATTAACGCGATACGAAGCGTATGGCGACGTCGCTCAAGAATATTTTGGCTCCATTTACTAAAAATGAGCGATAACAGAACTAAAATGAGTACGCCACTGTATTATACGTAGCAAGTTATATAGGGCCCCGTTCCCATCCTACCCGATAAGTTGAAAAGTAACCAAGATATGATCAGATTGGGCTATGTTCAGAAATTATTTGTGCCACTGCTTTGTGTTCGTTTGTGTTGAGCAGTAAATCAAGCTTTCTGTTTGTTTGAGTTGAGCAAGAGATCAATGCTCCTACAGATTCATAAAAATTAAATCAGCGACGTCAGATTACGTGATATTCATGATTTTTTGAGAATGTTCAGCTTCTCAAACGAACTGGCATTTAAGACGTACTTCGGCCGCAGGATCTTTAGTTGTTTTAGTAGTCCGACCGTACTACTTTTTCATCTCCATTCATCCGGATTTTTTTTCAACATCATACCAGGCTTGACCTCGATAGTTGCGGAATGAATATTGTTTTGCCGACGCTGCCGGGAAGGGCGAAGTTAAGCAGGGTTAAACCTGCTCTTTGTCGCCGATCTCGAAAACTGTTGATATAGAGGAAAATCCAGATATGAATCCTTTTGATATTCTCCTTTAAGTTCAATCAGAAAATTTTCTCCTGCTACTGTGATTGCGTTGGCGTCTGCGTTTTCTTCTTTGAATACATCGATAATTTCATTCAACTCCGGGAATAGTATAATCATCTAACTGAATCATAGATAGATTCTACATACTAGATTTTGTTTCTTTATCTGTGAATAGTACTCACTAGTTCGCTACTGATCCCAAGACCAGCATTAGCTGATTGGGATGTTCGTTTTACTAGCTTAGTTTTTTTTTGCATCATTTGTAATTAACAAACTATCATTTTATCATATTGAACATGTTAATAAGATATTAAAAAAAAACTTGAGGAATTTGTTCGTGCATTGGTTGCAAATGGCAGATGTGTCATATTCAGAGTAAATTGTTCCTGAAGTTTTTCCCTTGCTCAGTTTTAAGAAATAAACATTTGCTGTCCTAACAGTTAATGTGTCAGAGTCTTCTATGGCCTGATGGACAATAAAATTTGATTCCTCAAATTAGTCTCTCAATAAGGATAAATTGTGTTCCATGGCTAGGGATCTGGATTGTGGGTATCGATTCATCAAACATTATGTCCGCAGATGTTAACTTTTTTGATCGGAGAAGTCTTTCTGCACCTTTGGTGCTCTTTTGTGCAGCATCAGCTGGATACCCATCAAATACAGTAATCGAATTTGAACCATAGTATTTTGTTACTTATGGTATGGACTTTGTACAAATAGTATAGAAAATATTAGTTGCTCCCGGCTGAGCACATGTTGATATATGATCAGGAATCTTAGAGACACGGTTTCCTTTGACATACTGAAACTACTCTTTTTTGAACATGTTCAATCACTTTTAAAGTATGGACTTGTGTTGTGGTGTTCATCTTCACATGCTGATAAGGCTTTCTGTGCACAGAAAAAAATATTGAGAACTATGTTCAATGGACATCCTATGTCAACATGTAGATATTTATTTAAAAAATCACAAATGCTAATATTGCTTAGTTTATAAATATTTCCAACCATTACAAATGTTGAAGGAAATGAAAACAATTTCAAGAAAAATGAGGACTTGCACTCGTACGAAACACATACGAAAGAAAATATTTATCAGAGGTATTCTCAACTTCAAATTTGCCAGAATTCACCCAACTATATATGTATCTGTGATAAAAATATATCAATTGTAATATGTCCTTCAGAAACAAACTCAAACATTTATTAACGGAACATATTTTTTATAATGTAGAGTTGCTCAATTTTTAAAAACTTAGGTTTTTAAAACTTCAAACTTTTGAAATTCAAAATGAATTTTCAATATTAATTTTGAAGTGTATTTATTCCCCATGTTTTTTTTGACTAGTCCGATAAATATGCATCAATTTTTGGTCTGCATTGATTGAATGTAGTTGTATGTTTTTGTGAATAATAAACTGATTCTGGTTTTCTCTTCAGGAACGAATACAACTAATATTTTCTGAACCTGTGAAAAAACTGCACTGCTGGTCCGGAAGCAATAATTGTATCATCGATGATCATCGAATAATTTGCTATAACTAATACCAATGTGACTCATGAAAAATATTATTGTAGAGAATTTTCTCCTCTACAATTTTTGTAATCACTGTTTTTCACCGAGGAGGTACTGGAAGAGAGATATCGTGGAAAAACAGATTTCAATATGGCGGCACCATGACGTGGTCGCCGACTTAAGGTGTTATTAGGGTCATAAAGATGTACCGATCTACAAATTTTGAAAACCCCTGTATTTTTGTTTTTCAGGTAAATCTACCCATTGCTTGGCCAAATCTATGAACTGAATAACTGAGTGATACATTCACACACGAAATATAGCATTTGTAATGTTGGAGACAATTGGCCCCACGTTGATTTTTCCGTTATTTTCCTGCCTGATTTTATTGCTTCATAATTCCTAAAAAACGCACGGTTTTGCTTACCACAAACGCATCTTTGCAATGAGAGTCAGAGTCAGTTCACTAGGACAAAGAGAACTGAAAAGGCATAATTCTATTTGCACTCGCATATTTCTCTTATGTTTTCAGTAAGTATTTCATCTGAATGGTGGAGGAGCAGACACTGGGGAAGACCACTAAGGGATGAAATCCGTCCAAACCTTGTTCAATTGATTAATCATGATTTACATTTAATGCACAATCAATATTATAATTAAAGTTGAAGGGTATCGAAACTATAGTGATATGAAATCTCTCTCTGATACCTTGCCATTCTCCAGTGTTGCAGTGTGATTGGTCAGCTCGAGGACAATAGACGTGTAGGGACTAATACGTCACACCAGTCACACCAATGAATTCACACCATTTCAAATTGTGCAGGAAGTGTGTGTTCTTTTCACTTTTTTCATCCTCCTAGTGAGCATGAAAAATTTTAAATTATATTTACTGGTGGTTTTTTGGTATAGAGCTCACGATGATAACGTTCTAAAAAATCAAGGGTCTCCCCCCATTATACCAGGTGAGTGAAATTCTAGTAAAAACAGGAGAAGTTTAAAAAAAAAACGAATATTCACGCTTTCACTTTTATTTTGTTCTGACGCTATTAGAATAGATATAACAATACAAATTACACATTCTCATTGCTTCTTTTTCTGTTCTACAAGATGGTGTTATCAGGTTTTCAAACCAGCGTTTCATCTTTAAACTGCCATCATCAACTTTGTTTTTTAAAATATGGCTCTGGATTTTTTATCATGGATATTGAGAACTTTTGATGTTCTAAAATCAACGGTGTATTGAACTTATTCGAAAAATGTGAGATTAATATGAGTTTTTCAAATAAGTGCAATACACCGTTGATTTAGGAAGATCGAGAAACATTAAAATCCACAATATAAAATCCAGCGCCGTATTGAAAATAAACAAGTTGATGATGGCAGCTCGAAGATGAAACATCTGTTTGAAAATCTGATAACACCATCTTGTAGAACAGAGAAAGTAGCGGTGAGAACGAGGTGTCATTTGTTTTGTTACATCTATTCAGATAGAGCCAGAAAAAATATGAGTGAAATCGCGAAAATTCGATTTTTTTCCAAAAATCTATTCGGAAAATAAAAAAAATTCAAAACCACATTTTCTTCTGCATAAAAAATTTTGCAACTTTGCCTCCATTTAACCCTCTTTGTAGCGCTCACCGTTTCCGAGATCTACTCGAAGTTCACTCACCTGGTATAAATCTCATTATGGGATACTTTCCCATTATTCCGGATAAGTATGAACGCCAACTTCAAGTCGTTCATTTTCCATTTTACGAATCGCCAAATTGTCACGAATTCGCATAAGCACGAACGCACCATCGGCGAACGACGGGAAATAAAAAATCAAGCGTATACATACATTGTGCGTCAAAAAATCCCAACCTTTATTTCCATAGAGGAACTGAGGATTGGCGGTGCTGCGTCTCTTCCTCTCCGCCCTTTTGTTTTGCATCTCCTTGTACTGGTCGTGCGTGGCCAAACAGAAATAGTTGAGGAAGTCCGTTTGCGGCACGTCTCGCGGATCTACTGGGCAGGCGTGATGGTGTTCGGGCGAAGAGTGAAGAGATACATTGTCGGTGGAGTCGTCCGAATATGAGGTGGCCGATCCTGAACGGACCACTCTGGAAATAACAGAATCAAATGAGGGAGGAGTAAGCCATTCAGTCACAACCGTCTCTACATGTCATTCTTCACAACGAAGCCTCAAAGCAATTAGCAGTTAAACATGGAGTTCCGCAAGGCTCTGTACTTGGTCCCTTGTTATTTTTATTATATGTAAATGATGCAAATCGATATTCAGGGACAATTCACCGTATTTGCTGACGATACGACTATTCTTTGGCATACAAAGGATTGCTCAGTATTGGAAAATATCATCAACGAGGACTTGAAGAAAGTTAAATTATGGTGTGACACCAATTTATTATCTTTCAATATCAACAAGACAGGAATGATTAATTTCAGATGTGATATCGATAATGTTTTCCTTGAAAATGAATGCCTCAGTAATAGAGATATTAATAAGTTTTTAGGGTTGAACATTGACTCCAAATTGGAATTTGAAACGCACATACTACTTCTAAGTAAAAAGTTAGCATCTGGCTGCTATGCTGTGAGGGTTACTTCAAATGAGTTGGGATTAAATGCCGCCAAAAATGTTTACTATTCACTCATCGAATCACATTTGCGTTACGGCATTTGTTTCTGGGGGACATGTACTGACCATTCATTCAATTCAATTTTCGTTTTACAAAAGAGAGCATTGAGATATATGTGTAAAGATAGGGTGATGGATTCATGCAGATCATTGTTTCTAGTCCATGGAATATTGACATTAGCTTGCATCTTCATTTTGGAAACTGTTTGCTTAGTCCATAAGAAATATAAAGATTTTAGATTTGTTACACCAACACATAAAACCCGCAACTCTTCAAATTGTATCAAACTTCCCATTCCTACATCGGCTCTGACTAAGAACTCTTTAATTATCTGCCTATTTACCTTCGGGAAATTGACAATGAACTTAAGTTCAGAAAACAAGTCAGAAAGTTTCTGATTGTGAAGGCTTATTATAGTTTGACCGAATTTTATCAAGATTCCTAACCATTTACTTTATTTTATATCTAGATTCGAGTCTAGATTCATTTGATTTTATATCTAGACTCATATTATTTCATTTTATTTTATCTTCTTTTATTTTATGTCATTTTATTTCTACATTTCTGTTGTGATTTAGTTTGTTAGTTAGTCATTGACGCACTATTTTGTTATATGTTATTTTATTTCTTGAACTATATTGTGATAGAGCTCACTGCTCCAAATATTGTTTTTATCGACTTATATTCTGATGTCTATGTATTTGTTATCCCAAATCTTTGATCAGGTTTTCTTTTTAACCTATATAGGCTTTGTCAATGAGAATCACCTTTCTTCCGACAATAAAGCAAATTTTGATTTGATTTGATTTAGCTTTGGTGGGCCGAATTGGCAACAGTGCCCGAACGTCCTACTATCGGATAGATTAATTATATGGATTTGACGTTTTTGTATCATATAGAGTACCTACGGACACTCTAACAAGCAGTGTCAGTCAGACAAAACCACAAAATATAAATAAAAAACGACAACTAACAGTACACGGATCTACTGGGCAGGCGTGATGGTGTTTGAACTTTGAACGAAGAGTGAAGAGATACATTGTCGGTGGAGTCGTCCGAATATGAGGTGGCCGATCCTGAACGGACCACTCTGGAAATAACAGAATCAAATGAAGGAGGAGTAAGCCAATCAGTCACAACCGTCTCTACATGAAGCTTTGATGGACAGAATTGGTATCAGTGCCCGAACGTCCTAGTATCGGCTATATTGATTATTTATTTATTTATTTAATGTTACACTGTTCTATAGGTCAAACCCAACTACAGAACAGGGAAATAAGTACAACTAATAATACAGTTTTTCATATTTTGAAAAGTATATAAATATAGGCAAGACCTCAGCTGAAATAAAAAGATTTAATCGTAGAGATAGAACAATGAAAGATAATCTGGCTGATTATTTGATGAATTATTGTATAAAGAACACATGTTATGGAGAGGAGAATATTTCAGAATATTTGTTCATGGTGTCGGAAGATAGAATGTATTGAAAACTCTAGAAGTTTGTCTAGGCACAGTGAAACTCAGCTTCTGCAAAATGTGTGAGTCAGTGATAATGTTATTCACCACTTTGAAAAGGAACACTGTGGATTGACAATCACGACGGCAACTAAGGTTTTTCATAGCATGTCTAGCTAATAATGTATCATGAGGAAACCCGATTGGTGGATATACATTATCAGATCTATAGGAAAGAAGTTTTAGGAAACGACGTTGTACTGATTCAACTTTCTCTATATACAGCTGATGAGACGGATTCCAAATTAAAGATGCATATTCCAGTTTTGATCTGACGAAGGCATAATATAATGTTTTTGATGTGGCTGAATCGGAAAAATCTCTAGAGATCCGCGCTATGAATCCATACATCCTGTTTTGTGTCAAAGGTGACACCTAAATCGGTAAATGTGGGCGGACGTTGAAGTATTGTATCACTAATATCATACGGAAATAAAATGAATTGATTTTTAAGTGTATATGTCATTACATTACATTTGCTAGCGTTTAAAGGTAATTTGTTACTGCAACAACATTGTTCAACGCGTTTCAGATTTAGAGATAGCCGTTCACAATCCTCAATATCATTTATCGGACAATATATCTTTAAATCGTCTGCATACATCAAACAATTGACATCAATTACTTCGATAATGTCATTGATAAAGGCATTGAAAAGTAGCGGACCTAGGTTGCTACTTTGAGGGACACCCGAGCTTGCTGCATATTCGACAGACTTGAAACCATTGAACATAACATATTGACGCCTATTAGTAAAATATGAAGCAAAAAGTTGGATAAGTGCCAAGGAAAATCCGTAACGGTATAGTTTCTATAATAATAGTCCATGATCAAGCCTGTCGAATGCCTTTGAGAAATCTGTATATACAACATCAACTTGCAATCGCCTGTCAATGCTTTCAGAAATATATTGAGTAATATCGAAAAGGTTGGTGATTGTGGAACACCCTTTCATGAAACCATGTTGAAGTAGTGTGATTTGACTGCTCAAATGCTGATATAACCTATCATACAGGAGGATTTCAAAAACTTTGGCAAAATTGCAAATAATGGATATGGGTCTGAAGTTACCGATGTCGAATTTATCGCCTTTTTTGTATATCGGACAAACTTTTGATAATTTCCATAAGTCGGGCAGTGTGCAGGTTTTCAAGCAAATATTGATCAATATAGATAATGGACGAGCCAAAACATATGCACAATCTCTCACAACCATTGCAGGGAGGTTATCAGGACCCGTGGTCATTTTCGGTTTAATTTGCTTCAGAGCTGTCAACACTTCATTTTCGTCAAAACATTTAATGTTCAAAACCTGTAAATACGGATTGCAATCGGTAAAATCACTCTGTGAACTCATGGTATACGCTTGAGAAAAAAAATCTGCAAAGCCATTCAAAATATCAAGAGGATTCTCTAATAGTTGCCCTTCATAAGACATTTTATCCGAAATGGTGGTGGATCCTCTTTTGCTGCTGATATATGCCCAGAATTCATTAGGATTGTCTTTGATTTCCTCTTCAGCTGACTTTACAAATTTTTTATAAGCTCTGTCTACATCCAACTTGATTTTGGCTCTTAAACGAGTGAATTCGACACGGGCAACAGCATCACCGCTGTTTTCAAACGAGCGCCAATGCTTCGCCTTGAGACGAATTTCTCTAATGATATTATTATCGAACCATGGCGGATATTTTCGCTTGAAGTTAGTATTTCTTAGGGGTACACATTGATTCAATACATTATAAATCTTTCCATATAGATAATTGCAGGCATCATTTGCTCTATCGAAAGCTTCCAGGATATGGATTTGACGATTTTGTCTTATATGGTGTACCTACAGACACTCTCAGTGTCAGTCAGACATAACCACAATATACAGGGTGTTTCGAAATTCGACCGACAACGCTTGACAGGTGATAGCCCTCGTGATTTCATAATCACTGAGATAGGGACATATGGTCTTCAACTGTTCAGTTATCAAGATACAGGGCGTTGAAGTTGAGAAATTAAAATAGTTTTTTCGCAATATCTCAAGAAACATTGAATATAATGCATTCAAATTCGGTATATGGTTTGATCTTTCAATGGTTAAGTTCTTGACAAGAAAGACATTCCGAGAATTTTATCCAGAGGTGCGCTACAGAGGGTTGCGATAACTTTTCCGCCCATATTTTCTACGCCACTGATGAAATTTCAATAATTTCCAATTTCTCGAATTGATTGTTCAATTATGTTGAAAAAGTTCATCACCTTCAACTGAGCTAAAATGAACAGTTATCGAGATATTTGACCCAAAATAGAAGTTTGCATAGTAATTTTTCATCATCCTCAGTAGTAGAAAATTACAAACATTTTTGTTTTCTCTTTATCCGTGGAATAACCATTTCTATTCAGCTATAGAATGAGATCTGAATAGTATCTAATCTACTCAACACCAGAAAAATATTTTTGCAATTTTCTACTACTGAAAATAATGAAATATTACTATGCAATCTTCAATTTTGGGTCGAATATCTCGAAAATTGTTTATTTCAGCTCAGTTGAAGGTGATGCATTTTCTGAACAAAATTGAACGATGAATTCGAGGAATTGGAAATAATCGAAATTTAATCAGTGGCGTAGAGAATATGAGAGGAAAAGTTGCCACAACCCTCTGTAGAGCACCACTGGATAAAATGTCCGGAATGGCTTCCTTGTCAAAAAATGACCCATTCAAAGATGAAACCATATACCGAAGTTGAATGCATTATATTCAATTATTCTTGAGATATTGCGAAACAACTATTTTTATTTCTCAACTTCAACGCCCTGTATCTCGAGAACTGAATACTGGAAGACCGTATGTCCCTATCCCAGTGATCATGAAATCACGAGGGCTATCACCTGTCAAGCGTTGTCGGTCGAATTTAGAAACACCCTGTATAAATAAAAAACGAGAACAGTATACGGATCTACTGGGCAGGCGTGATGGTATTCGGGCGAAGAGTGAAAAGATACATTGTCGGTGAAGTCGTCCGAATATGAGGTGGCCGATCCTGAACGGACCACTCTGGAAATAACAGAATCAAATGAGGAAGGAGTAAGCCATTCAGTCACAACCGTCTCTACATGAAGCTTTGGTGGGCCGAATTGGCAACAGTGCCCGAACGTCCTACTATCGGCTAGATTTATTATATGGATTTGACGTTTTTGTATCATATAGAGTACCTACGGACACTATAACAAGCAGTGTCAGTCAGACATAACCACAAAATATAAATAAAAAACGAGAAATAATAGTTCAAGGATCTACTGGGCAGGCGTGATGGTGTTCGGACGAAGAGTGAAGAGATACATTGTCAGTGGAGTCGTCCGAGTATGAAGTGACCGATCCTGAACGGACCACTCTGGAAATAACTGAATCAAATGAAGGAGGAGTAAGCCAATCAGTCACAACCGTCTCTACATGAAGCTTTGAGGAGCCGAATTGGCAACAGTGCTCGAACGTCCTACTATCGATAGATTGATTATATGGATTTGACGTTTTTGTATCATATAGAGTACCAACGGACACTCTAACAAGCAGTGTCAGTCAGACAAAACCACAAAATATGAATAAAAAACGAGAACTAACAGTACACGGATCTACTGGGCTGGCGTGATGGTATTCGGGCGAAGAGTGAAGAGATACATTGTCAGTGGAGTCGTCCGAGTATGAAGTGACCGATCCTGAACGGACCACTCTGGAAATAACTGAATCAAATGAAGGAGGAGTAAGCCAATCAGTCACAGCCGTCTCTACATGAAGCTTTGATGGGCCGAATTGGCAACAGTGCCCGAACGTCCTACTATCGGCTAGATTGATTATATGGATTTGACGTTTTTGTATCATATAGAGTACCTACGGACACTCTAACAAGCAGTGTCAGTCAGACAAAACCACAAAATATGAATAAAAAACGAGAACTAACAGAACACGGATCTACTGGGCTGGCGTGATGGTATTCGGGCGAAGAGTGAAGAGATACATTGTCAGTGGAGTCGTCTGAGTATGAAGTGGCCGATCCTGAACGGACCACTCTGGAAATAACTGAATCAAATGAAGGAGGAGTGAGCCAATCAGTCACAACCGTCTCTACATGAAGCTTTGATGGATAGAATTGGCATCAGCGCCCGAACGTCCTAGTATCGGCTATATTGATTATATGGATTAGACGATTTTGTCTTATATAGTGTACCTACAGACACTCTAACAAGCAGTGTCAGTCAGACATAACCACAAAATATAAATAAAAACGACAACTAACAGTACACGGATCTACTGGGCCGGCGTGATGGTATTCGGGCGAAGAGTGAAGAGATACATTGTCAGTGTAGTCGTCTGAGTATGAAGTGGCCGATCCTGAACGGACCCGTCTGGAAATAACAGAATCCAATGAAGGAGGGCTAGGCCATTCAATCACAACCGTCTCTACATAAAGCTTTGGAGGGCCGAATTGGCAACAGTGCCCGAACGTCCTACTATCGGCTAGATTAATTATATGGATTTGACGTTTTTGTATCATATAGTGTACCTACCAACAATGATTTTTCTAGAACTATGATATTTCCTATTGGCTGATGATGGGCTTATATGAGCCCGAAACATGTTCCATTAAGATTGATCTCTGATCATTCTGATAAATGTTGTGGAGATGGAAAGAAATATTCTCACTTACATAGTTTGTTTCCTGGCTCGGTTCAGAGCATTGGTAAGATTAAATCGCCTTTCTTCCAGACCATTTTTTATCAAGTTTGTCTTCAGCGATTTTTGATATGCTTTATATTCATCACGAAGTCGTTCCAGCAGATTTTTCTGAAAATATAAAGTGCGAGATTATAAAAACATCTACCTTAAAAAATGGATAACAAATTTTCAGCATCGTTTTGCAAACATAATGATGAATTCTGAAGCCTATTGTCTAATATAGATGAGTGTTCTCTCAATTTACAAAAATTATATGAATCTCTTTGACGATTCTTTAACACATCAAAACTACAATATACTAAAGCATTATTTATTGACAGACAACAATATTACAATTTCATTTTGTGATTTTTTCTGTTTCAATAAAACAATCGAATATTATTTTCCGAAACATTTACTGAAATAAAGTTACCTGTTCAAGTCCAATAGTAATAATTTCCTCTTCAACTCTATTAACTTCCTTTTGTAAATCAGCATTCTAAAATTCAGAATATGTTGATATAGCTGGTACTTATATTATTTGAAAACTCAACTTACACTAGAATCCAATTCCAATTTGGCTAAGGTATTCTGTAAAAAAGGAACTATTGAAATAACAACTAAATTGAAGCCAACGGGACATACTTTCGAAGTGGAAACATGACCATAAATGTACTGACGGCAATAATTATAGACATAATAGTGATATGATAAAGGACCAGAATTATCATTTTCATTTTTGATATCAACATAATATACGAGGTGAATCATCATGAATCACAATTTGAATTAATTTTTCAACATACACAGGATTTTTCAAACACAAAAGATCCACAAAAGAATATTCAGGGTAGTTCAGATTAGACGTATTTTCATGATATAGTAGTTTTCTGGGCATATAGTGAAATAGTGAATGTTGTCACTCAAGTTTTCAAGAGCTTTGAGATGCTGTGAGTTGGGTGACATTTCAAATGATAATCAAATTCAGATCATTTCAGAAAGCGTCAATTGTATTTCAGAATAGCCACTTGTATTCCAGAAGGTAAGCATTGTATTTCAGAATAGTAAATACCATTTCAGAAAATGTCTTTGTATTCCAGAAAATATCATTTGAATTTCAGAAAGCGTTAAATGAATTTCAATGAGCATCAATTATATTTCAGATTAGTGAACTGAATTTCTGAATACCCGAGTGGACTAATTTTTTTTTAATAGAATCATCACTCAAATACCTTTCAATTTCCTATTTTTCAAGAATTTTTTGGTCGATTTTAATTTTCAGTAATTCATTCATTCGTTGCTCAATTTGAAAAAAAGAATTTCAATTCACATGGCTCTCGGAGGCACTGCATTTTCAAATGTCATGCAATTAATTTCTACTCACAATTCACTCTTGATAATTCTGAATCAAGGTTGGAATATAAGTCATGACTTTTATAATTAATTAATTCACTTTATTTACCTTAACAAAATAACCTAATTCCGCTATGGGGATTATGCGGAAAAACAATGTTCAAAAAAATTGAAACACTACAAAATAAGGTTGTAAAGATTTTATTCAAATTTCAATAAACTACATCTACACAAATAATATACCGGGTGGCTACGGAAGTATTGCCTACGGAATATCTTAGTTATTGTATGAAGTAGGTTTATGAAATTTGGTGCGTCGATATAATGACATAAGAGCTAGAATTTGAGCACATTGACATGTCGAAGTTAACTTCCGGTCTGACCGGAAGTAACATCAACTTTCTTATTTTAAATGGAAACCCTATTTTTTTTTCTTTTCGCTTTATTCAGCATTCAATTTCCTTTCTAATGACATATCACAAGTTTGTATCTAACCAAAAACTAGATCAGAAAAAAATTATTATTGAAATTCACCGAGTAGGAGTTGGAAGCAAAATGGAAGCAAAATGGAAGCCAAAAAATGACTTATTATATCATTAGAAAGGACTTATTATATCATTAGAAAGGAATGATTATGCTGAATAGTACAGGCAAGAAAAAGTTGTACGTTCCTATTTAAGTTATGGACCTACACTACCTACAGAGTATTGTTTTTTTCCCAATTTTTCCAATATTTTTTTTGGCGGCTCTTTAGAACGACGACGAATGAAAATAAAATATCACAGTAGTAGCAACTGTTATCAAGTGACGTATGGTTTCCATAGCCAACTTTTCAATTTTTGGCTTTCATTTTGCTTCCACGGCCTACTCGGTGAATTTCAATAATAATTTTTTTCTGATCTAGTTTCTGGTTAGATACCAACTTGTGATATGTCATTAGAAAGGGAATTGAATGCTGAATAAAGCGAAAGGAAAAAAAATCGGGTTTCCATTCAAAATAAGAAAGTTGATGTTACTTCCGGTCAGACCGAAAGTTAACTTCGACATGTCAATATGCTCAAATGCTAGCTCTTATGTCATTATGTCGACGCTCCAAATTTCACAAACCTACTTCATACAATAACTGAGATATTCCGTAGGCAATACTTCCGTAGCCACCCTGTATAATCAAACTAACATCTTACCTCTTTCTAAAATATTACAAAGTAAATGCATATACAATGTCATCAACGAAAATCTTAAATGCAATGCACCTGTCAATTTTGTGAATCAGCAACTATAATACACGAACACAAGCAAATATCTTCTTAGAGAACAAACATAGAAGCCTATAATTATTCATTACCAAGGGACATAGCAGACAGTGCAAATATACAGTCTGTCCAAGATAAGGTTGCACAGCATGGGGATCTCGGAAACGGTAGGAGATACGAAGTCGGTTAAATGGGGAAAAAGTTGCGCATTCGGAGGCTCAAACCAACAGCCTTCGAAAATTTTCAAAATTGTTTCAAGTTTTCCAGTTATATCGAAAAAAGTGAAATTTTGGAATATCTATTTTATTTTATTTTTCTCCGTTATAATTAGAGCAACAGAAAAACTGAAAATACTTTTTCATACAACTTTTGATGACGTTTAACGTGGTGACCAACTTATGTTTTTCAAATACGGTCCTGATAATTCTTTCACAGATTCTGAAAGCTTTTTTTATTATGAATTCATCCATGTATTGAACAAGGTGGTTTGAATGTGTTTCGAACTATGTTTAGCCATCATCAATGTTTTTTTCGAAATTCCAAAGGAAAAATGCCATCAGTTCCACTTATTTTGAAGGAAAATTAGCCAACAAACTAATACCTCATCAACTAGTTCCGATTGATAGACTTATAGGAATAATTAGTTCGAAAAATTAAATTATGACAAGCTCCTTCGGATTAAAATATGAATACAATTCATAAACAATTCGAAGCGCTGTATTGAATAACTAGTCCATCAATGTTTGACACTGAATAATCAGAAATAAGTGAAACTGATGGCATTTTTCCTTTGGAATTTCGAAAAAATCATTGATGATGGCTAAAAATAGGTCGAAACACATTCAAACCACCTTGTTCAATACATGGATGAATTCATAATAAAAAAAGCTTTCAGAATATGTGAAAGAATTATCAGGACCGTATTTGAAAAACAAAAGTTGGTGATGGCGGTTCTACGAATACGAAACGTCGCATAGAAAAATCGGTATCACCACGTTAAACGTCATCAAAAGTTGTATCAAAAAAGTATTTTCAGTTTTTCTGTTCCTCTAATTATAACGGAGAAAAATAAAATAAAATAGATATTCCAAAATTTCACTTTATTCGATATAACTGGAAAACTTAAAACAATTTTGAAAATTTTCGAAAGCTGTTGGTATGAACCTCCGAATGCGCAACTTTTTCCCCACTTAACCGACTTCGTATCTCCTACCGTTTCCGAGATCCCCATGCTGTGCAACCTTATCTTGGACAGACTGTATATGTATTCAGAAGGAAAAGTAGAAATATATAAATGCATCTTATATGTTCTTATATACTACCATATTTACTGCTCAAGGTTAGAAATACCCAGATGATTGTTATTATAATTATTAGTTTTATTTTATTTAAATATGTAAACCGAGATGAAAATGCAAATGTATTATGTAAGTTTTGTATAAATACTTTTCTGAGACCAGCACTTTTGCTGCTTTGGATAATTCAATGTTCAGTGTAATGCAGACTACTGTAGGCTGCATGTTGAATGTCAAGAACGCATTATACAGAGTGGGCCTTTGAAAACGAAACAGAGGCTCTGTAGGTCGCCAAAACCGGATTATCAAAAAAAACTGAAACAGGTCAACTACATTTTCGAGGGGGACATCTTTCTAAAATATTTTCAGCCCCGCGGCGTTGCCGCTTCTAAAGAAAAGAAGCAACAACTTTGTTATTTCAAATGGAACACCTTGTATTTTATTGCATTCTTAGATTCTCTCCGAAGAGCTGAATTCATCAATGCATCACACTTGGGGTCTAGCTGTAATGGTTTCAGGGATATAAAGTGTTCAAAATCGAGATTTTTCGACTTTAAAATTTTTTTGTGTCGAAACTATTCATTATTGGTCAAAACGGCTCTCATGTCCCTATCTCAACTTGTGATTTACTATCTACTGACATTTATTTGAAACAAATACAGGGTGGTTCAAGATTCAGAATTCTGATCATCCTGTATCTGTTCCAATTAAATGTTAGTAGATAGTGAATCACAAGTTGAGATAGGGACATGGGAGTCGTTTTGACCAATAATGATTAGTTTCGACACAAAAAAATGTTAAAGTTGAAAAATCTCGATTTTGAACACTTTATATCCCTGAAACCATTACAGCTAGACCCCAAGTGTGATGCATTGATGAAATCAGATTTTCGGGGAGAATCTAAAAATGCAATAAAATACAAGGTGTTCCATTTGAAATAACAAAGTTGTTGCTTCTTTTCGTTAGCAGCGGCAACGCCGCAGGGCTGAAAATATTGTAGGACGATGTCCCCTTCGAAAATGTAGATGTCGTGTTTCAGATTCTTTTCATAATCCGGTTTTGGCGACCTACAGAGCCTCTGTTTCGTTTTCAAAGGCCCACTCTGTATTCTGATAAAGTACTTTAAAAAAATGCAAAACAAAAAATTAAATCCCCCGCGGTTATCAGGTGTTTATATGGTCAGCCTAGCAGAACCACTGCAATATTTCAGATTTGCAATGGTGCTATAATTTGGTCCTAATTTAGTACTTATTTATTACCATATTCGTAAATTTATTACCCTTCATTTATCAGGAAAAAACAACGGTTCTGCTAGCTTCATGACAAGCTAGCAGAACCATAGCAAAAAATCAATGTTTTGGAAAACTTGAAAAAAACTTGAAATATTCCATAATTTATTACTATTTTATTACTAACTTTGAACTATACTCACGACTTTTATCATTCGATGAAAAAAAAAACGCGGATTCGTCAATCTTGATCTCAACCTCGCAGAACCAAAACTCAAATCTCATGTTGTTTGAGATTCTATTGAATAAGTTACTGATTTATAACTTATTTATTGCCACATTTGCAAAAATTCATAAGCCCATATTGAACAGAAAAAACCCAACGGCTCTGCTAGCTTTATGTCAACCAAACAGAATCATAGGTAAACAATTATTTTTTTGAAAACTTCAAATATACCTACTATGATTTATTATCATTTAATAAGTTTTAATTATAATCACGATTTTTTTACTCATCATTCGATGGAAAAAAACGCCGATTTGTCAATCTCGATCTCAACCAAGTAGAACCAGGACTCAAATCACATGTTATTTGAAATTCTATTAGTAACAAATTATAGCACTATTGCAAATTTGAAACGTTGAAATGGTTCTGCTAAATTTTGTTAAATTTTGCTAAATTGTTCCCATTGGAGTTAGTTTGAATGAATTCATGACTTTTCAAAAGAGTTATTTGAATTGATTCACAAATCAAATCACTGACTCAATTCATATGAATTGATTTGTGCCAACGCTGTTCTGAAATTTAATTGAATCTTTTGAAATTCAATTGACGCTTTCTGAAATTCAATTGACTATTTTGAAATACAATAGACGCTTCCTAAAATTCAGTTGAATATTCAGAAATACAACTGACACCTTCTCAAATTGAATTGCTCGTTGAATTGACTATCGACAATACGATTGACGCTTTGTGAAGTACAAGTGACCATTCTGAAATATAATTCACTCTTTTTCAAACTAAATTGACTATTCTAAAATGCAAATTGATGCTTTCGAAATTCAATTAACCATTTTGAAACACATTAGTTGTTTGAAATTCAGAAATGCAACTGACGTTTTCTTAGATTGAATTGACTATTCTGATATACGATTTACGCTTCGTGAAATAAGAAATAAGATTGTCTATTATTAAATACGATTGATGCATTCTGAAATTCAATTGACTATTCTGAAATACAATTTGTCGCATTCTAAAGTACAAGTGACTATTCTGAAATATAATTGACTATTTTTCAAACTGAATTGACTTCTAATACAAATGTCGCTTTCTGAAATACAAGTGACTATTTTGAATTACAACTGACGCTTTTTTAAACTGAAAAGTGCAAGCGTCTCTATAGGTAGGTATGTTCCTAGGTTTGCTAAATGAAAACTGAACTTCGCCTTTTATTCTGTTCAAATTATGACAACAAATTGAAAATGTCTGTTGATTAAAAATAATAGAGGCGTATTTTTATTTCTTGAACTGCATTGACCGTGGACGAATAAACTGAAATAGTATTAGTATTATTGCAAAATGCATCATTTCCATAGGTAGCAAATATTGATTCATCAAGTTAAAACTTGATGAATGATAGTGTCGTGTTTTGAAGCTTCAAGGTAGTAGTGAAAAAATTAAATGATATACTATCTTGCGCGTTTTTTTCAATAAATCGAGTCCGGATGTTGTAACAATAGAGCCAAGAAATATTTTTGATACTATCAAATAATTCATTGGTACATTCAATTAAAAATAAAATCAGTTTTCACATTAGGTTTTCTTTATTGTACTGGAATTTTATCTGAAGATGACACCTTAGCAAAACATCATCATCATCAAACAACATTAAGCTAGCAGATTTTTCAATTTTTTCTTTGGCCATAATTTAAGGATAATATATTACCCGTTCGCCGAATTTATTGCTCTTCGATTTTTGCAAAAAAAAACGTGGGTTCTACCAGCTTAACGTTAAGCTAGTAGAACCACTTCCTAAATAATCTTTCAATCACAAAACTAATTATAGGTACTATAATTTAAGGCTTCATCCTAGCCTATTGCCGATTGTTCCGCACATTTTTTAAATCATGGGTTTTACTAGCTTATCCGATAAGCTAACAGAACCAAGTCTCCAATAGAAGGACTATAATGATATTGACTACACCATATATAGTTTAAGGCTGTTTTATTGAGCCTATCATCGATTTTTTGTTAACCCTTTTTACCGAAAATTTTCACACATAGAACATGAAAATGACAAACAAATAGCAAAACGGAAAAGGTTCAATCAGAAAACTGAGTTTACCATAATTTGAGGCTAATTCAAGGCTCTATTCCTATTCTATTGCCGATATTTTCGCACGTTTTTTTTTTAAATCCTGGGTTTTGCTAGCTTACATTTCGGTACCTTATTATCTTCCATACTCAAATTCTATTGGTCAGCATAGTAGAAGGAAGGGGAATGATAGATGATAGATGAGGATAAAATAAAAAAGGTGTCCACTCTGTCCACCATGAATTTGAAATCCACGTTTAGACATTTCATGAGAAGTTCCATTTTTTGTAAAACACCATTTTTCCATAGCCAAGTCAAATACCTATAAATTACCTATTAAATTCAAAATATACCTATTCCCTATAAAAAAAATGACAGACCGCCCTGACATTGTAGGGCGGGACATTGGGAAGAAGTTGAGGAGTCTTTTATTCAATTTTTAGTCATAGGAATCCTCTTCAAAATAGGACAAAATGGAACTATCATGTATCTACTAGAAACATTGGTATATTTTGGCGTGTCTGAAAACATACCTTTTGGAAATATTTTCAAAAAATAAATAAGGAAGCTCATTTACTAACAAAAACTTTGTATACCTCACTCAACTGTATTATTTTAACATTTTAAAATTTTAAACCTGACCTATATTTTCACTTCACAAAGCCAACACAAAAATCATACAAAAATGGCATTCTCTAATATTGATAGATTGATTGTCTTTATTACCCCAAGAAACATTATGGATATATACAACAAAACATACATATAACATAATAGATCAAAATAATAATTGCACAATCATTGCTTTTCATAAAAAAATATAATAAAATATTAAATGAAACTATTATAATCCATTTCAAGTAATCAAATTATGAATGATTAGTAGAGATATGGAATTAAAGTTTGCTGAGCAGATATTTCTTTAAATTGATTTTAAATTTTTCTTCTTCTATATTTTTCAGCTCATTAGGTAAGGAGTTATATGAAATTATTCCATTATGGAATATTGATTGTTTACCAAAATTTGACTTATAATTATTTGCTATCAATAAATTAAATTGCCTTGTTTCATGGGCGTGAATCCTAATAACCTCATTAAAATTCAAAATTGATATTTTTAATTCCTTCCTGATGCAATGAAAAAAAAAAAACAAATTCTGAGTTTATATAATGAAAACAGATTCAGCAACACATTACCAAGATATAACTTGGCAATGATGGTGTTGTCCTCAACATTTTCTTCTTGCCTTCAAAAGGAGAATGATGAAAACAATGTCTATCAACTAAATAATTTAGCAATTGAAGGTACCTACTAGTAGGTAGTATACCTTATGTATGCAGTACAGTTAAACCATAGATTAATGACTCCTTAAACTGAATTTTTGGGTTTCATGCTTCTGCAGCTGAGTCAAAAAATATAATCATATAAATATAAATCCAAGGATTGGTGCTATCTGGGAGTAGCTACTGGGAGTGTGATACCTTGAAGCACTTGTATGGTGAATTTTTCTACACCCAAACCTATTATTATGTATACTGACTGAGGCATGCTGGGGCACTGATAATATATATGTACCTACATACATGAAGTAGGTTTACATTCAATAAAAAATATATATTACTAAAAATTTAGACAAATATATGAACATTATAATAATGATAATGTGCCAACTTCCTGGAAAAAAACTTTTAAGTAGGTACCTACCTACTTGAACAGAGATTGGAAAAATATTATATTATTTTATAAAAAAATTCATAATCATTTCTTTCCGAAGAACAATGAAATATCACAGTATAGACCCTTTTACTGTGGAAATATATCTAATGATAGAACAAAATAAAATGATAAACTTTAAACTTTACCTGATGGTTGCAAATTGCTGCTTTCAACTGAGTTTGATTTAATTCAATGTCACATTTTAGTTCTTTAGTTACTTCCATGCCGTTCATTATATGGTACTGCTATATCTTGAAGAATATTAATTCAAATTAAGTTCTCACTGTTCTCAGGTTTTTGTTGCAGATGCAGAAACCCATTGAAACCGGATTAAATTTTTATTGAATTTTCAATTTTTTTATTTGCTACTCTAGGACCACGGAACAAATGCACAGTGCACAATGCACAGGCAACACAGGGCACAAGGGCTCAAGGGCACACGACAGAGAAAGAGAAAACAGCACAGAACAAATTTCAAAATTTGAAAGTTAAAAAAATATTTCGCCGCAACTGGGTCGTTCGGAAATTTTAGCAGCCAGCTCTTCGACAGCCAAGTTCACACCAGCATAAGGTTATAATCTTCTTTTTTTTTGTACCCTTGCTTAACCAACCCATATCCAACCTAACGATAAAATAGTATATTTTACCCTTGATATTAGTTAGACTAGTTGAATACTCTGTTCTGTAAAATAAAGAGTACCCTGGCAATACCAATTATGTATTCTTGTAATTCGCATTACGCATTGTTACCTAGCGAGACATCCCAGGGATATTTGTGTTCACTGGGCAGGTACTGTAGGTTACAGTTTGAGTAAAAAAGTCCAATATCTTAAGTCCAATATAGGTACTTAAAACCAAGGTCTATTAACTACCTACCTATCTGAAAAATAATAGCTACACATAGGTACTCATGGAATCGGGCAAAAATACAATGCATGATTCATTATTCATTGGGGATATTCATCAGGGTTACATAAAAAACAAATAAAATATTGAATAATAATATATATGGTACTTGAAAAAAAAGTTATAACTCATTATGATAATGGGATAACTTTGGACCTTTCTTGATAGTTTTTTTTCTCTTTGTTGGCTTCTTGTGATCAATTATTTCATCTTTGGTGATACTGTTTTCTCTATAGGGATTCACATAATTGGGATCCTTTTCAACATGATTCAATTCTTGGCTGACTAGTTGTAACAATTTGATTGTATTGTTGTCTAAGATATACTTCATTTGATGTGTGAAAGCAATACCCCACTGAAACAATATGTCCCATGTATTATTAGACTTCAATACTGAATTGGCAAAATTCGGGAATCTCAAAGTGATTTCAGAAAAAAGAGCAACATTTTCAAGGATATTTGAGAGAGAATCTCTTGTGTTCTCATGTAAAGGAAAGTCTGAAACACCAGGAATGAAGTATGATGCTTCAATTACTGCACGACTATTCTGGATTACTGAGAAAATTTTTTCTGCCATTAATTTCAATAAGGTATACTTCTTATCTTGATTAGTAATTTTCTGGAAGCTCTTTATAGCTTCTAATTGTTCGGCACGCTGTTGCTTGAAAAGCTTTATATCTGATAACCAACTTAAGGAACGATCTTTATAAGCTGACACTTTATCCACATTCGTCTCCACTTCATAACATTAGTAACATTAATAACTTTGCATATGAAACCAGTCAAGGATACCAGATAATTCATTGAAAATAATATTTCTTGATAAGGATACATAACTTTTCTGAAATTTCTGATTCATGTTTGGATTCTCCAAATACGAATGCCGCCGGAAGGAATAAAACAATATTAATTGTGAATAATATACCAGAACCGGAGACCAGACATCCCAAATTCCTAACGTACATCTTTCCTTTTTTTAAGGTTAGTACGTCAAATCGTCAAAAAAATGGTTCTTCTTATTTTTTCGGACTGGCCGAGTCTCGACAAAACTGTTGAGTCTGTTCGTGTTATCTTTTTTACGGTGTAACGAGTAGTAACGACTGTAACATTTTTTGGTGATATTACTACAAAGCCCAGAGCAATGACGGCTAGATATGTTGACTGTCTGAAGGGTTATACAATACATGACTGTCCAATCACTCAGTTCAGTGTATACTCCACCAGAGGGGTTTACTTGCCGTCCTTTGCGGAGAAGTCATCTGTTTCCTGTTACTTCGAGCTTTCATTCGGTTATTTTCCAGTAACATAGGTTATATTGAATTCTTATTATCAAGTGTCAGACAGTCTAGATATCTAGCCGTCATTGGTCAGAGCAAGACTCTTTGACATGAAACAAGACATCTAAATATCAGATTGACACTTCTGATAGCTTTGACAATGATATTCCTGTTCCTATATGGTTATGAGAATGTTATGAGACCCGAAACATTGACAAACCTCATTGTTAGATTGATCAATGATTGATCACAGTGAATCACGTGAGACATTATGAAAGCATGCGCATTCGCTCGTAGAAAAACAGAATTATTAACGAGACCCTCGAATGCTCTCGAGGTTTCGGGTAGAAGGAAAAACATCCTCGAAAGCCTAAATCACTACACAAATGATTACAGTGAGCTGACGCCATGCAAGTAGTGGACTAGAATAAAACTCTCTGACCAAACTCATCAGCTTCCACAATTTTATTACGAAAAATAATAATAAAAAACACGAATCTCAACATATCAGGTGATGGGAATGGTTCGAAAGATTTAGGCACTTATCTATGGTTCCGAATGGTTCAGTGTTCCTGGTTGATAGTCGGTGGTTAAAAACGGCTAGCCTAGCGACACGGTTTCCACTTTGCTTTGAGACTTCCGCATGCGCGTTTAGAATGTTTAGTTCAAATCGCCACTTAATCAACTTTTTATTCCTTTTTTTCCATGCTTTATTTTCCTTCCTCCCTGAAAAAGGTACTGTGCTGTAGGAGCATCTACTGTTGAGCCGATAGGGATTCGCTGTTTCAATGATGTTTTTTTTGAGGTTCGGCCGTGAACGAAGCTTGGTCGGATATTTCCATTGTTTGGAAGTCTCAAAGCAAAGTGGAATCCGTGTTGCTAGCGCTAGCCGCTCGTCTGGTCTGCTGGTTCTGTTCTGGTTCAGTGACTTCAGTTTCAGTTGTTGTTGTTATGGAGATGGAATGTGAATGTAGAAATACAATAAAAATTACACCAGCATTTTTGTGTTAGATTTTACTAATTTCGCATTTTTTCATATCTGCGCGAATGATAAACTTTCAAAATGAATTTTTGGGATGAAGATATCGATTTACTTGTTGGAAAGAAGGCAAGTCTCTGTTTTATTATTCAAATTATTTTTGTATAATATATTATTATGCAGGCGGGTGGTCTAGGCCCAATAGGATTTCCCTGACTTTTACGACTTCAAAAGAAGCACATTTTTTTGCAATAGCAAAGATATCAAGCTGCCGGACATTCAGGCAGCTAACTTGATATTTAGCCGTCATTGAATGCATATTACTATACAGGGTGGCATTGAAATAAGTGCAAATATTTCAAACACTGAGAAAGCTTGACGTGTACTTTCGAATGGCAGTAATAAGAAAAATTAATGGATCGAAATAAAATAATTTGAGGTTAGATTCCTTTTTCCACCCAAAGTACTACACTGTATAGCAAATCTGACGTCACCTGTGTTCAAATTTCCATGCGGTAGGCACAATCACGCGGAGTTCAATCATTTAAATTGTTTCAAAGTGGCGTACTTGATTTTGTTTTTCGTATGTCGTTCAATTTTTGGAATGAAATTTCTCTTTAATTGAAGGAATTAGAAAAAATCTGATATCATGGGAATGTATTCTTTAGGCTGTATCATATTGATGTGCTGAATATGTGCAATCATTTCAAAAACACCTTGTATATTTTCCAGCCAGATTCGTACTACGCTCGTTTTTCTTGAAACATGACTAAATTAGACGGCGCTCGTTGCGAAACGGTATAAGGCGTCAGAAGCCCTTCAAAAATACCACAAGAATAAGAGAATTTTGATTTGAAAAAGAAAGATGGGTGTGTGCAAAGGGGTGATTTGTCGGGGGATTGTTTTAATTACTAATATTACATCATAGATGAAGAACCCCAAAGTCATCTCCACCACATTTATTTGACGATCAAAGATCGATCACATAGAGGTACATGTTTCGGGCTTATATATAAGAACATCATCAGCCGAATTCAAGAATTTAGTTCTAGAAAAACTAGTAACCCAGACAGCACAGAATATTCTATGAATATGCTGACAACGTTCAAATATACTTATTTTAGAATATTCTAATAGAATGTTCTCAGAATGATCGTAGAATATTCTCATTCTGCAACGAATATTCTATGATCATTCAATTCTACATATTCTTAGAATATTCTGAGAATATTCTTTTTGAATTTTCTGAGAATATTCAGAATCTTATCGAAATATATGATAATTAATGTTCCTATTCTTGTATCAATATTCAAAATGTTCACCCTGACGGTACACAACCTCTATTATTGTCTAGTCTCAATGCTGATTATCCCACTAATTCATCGTAGGTTATATCCCGAGACCATGACAAATAGCCGACTATTATTTTCTTCATAATTCTATCGAGAGTACCTTGTATTTTGACAATTTGATGAGACCATATGAACATTGATAATCTGAATAACTCCCGAGAGCTTCAGCTCGAGGGAGTTATTCTATGATTATTTATGTTCATATGGTCGAATTGAATTGTCCCAAAATACAAGTTACTCGAGATGAATTAAAGAAAATAATAGTCTCCATTTGTCATGGTCGAGTGATATTCAGGAAGATTATTTCATGAACAGTGTAAAAATACTGGTTCATATGAGTTTCAACATTTTATTAAAGTAACAATTCTGCAGATACTATTCGAATAAAAATTCTTCTGAAGGCCGTCTGGGGTATTCTCATCATATCTACGTACAATTGTAATTAATTCATCTAAAGTTAGAGCAAAGGAAGAATATTAGCGCTATTGATAGCGTTAATATTCTTTGATGAAAACTTCGGTACTTTTCTTTTCTTGTTTGAGGAAAATATTCAAATGGATTTGTCTTACGTTTATGTTCATTGAAGTTACCTTCTTGAACTCGTTCCTGTATTATAGTTTTCCATATCAATTTCAACTGTGTATTCCTAATATTCATCACCATTCTCATCACCCAATCTTTCAGGATTTGGGCAATCACGAGAGATGTCGTAGTCGCACAAAATTCCCTCTTTACTCTCCTCGTTATTTTCTGACATCGATTCGGTTACATAATTACGGATTGGGATTTCCGTGGTGGAAGTTGACCCAAAACGAGACATTTCAATTTTTGAGTGACTGATAGGTATGTCAAAGGTTGACAACCATAGCACTCTTATGCTGGTGAACAGAATAGCCGCTCATATAGTTTGTTTACCTAAATAGCCGCTAATATCGCATATCATGTGACTTCAATCATGACATTTCATAGGTCCAGCCGGGTGTGAATGAAATAATCGTTGTTGATATTCATTTTATCCATCAATAAAGTCCGTGGCGTAGTGGCAAGGTTTCAGATCCGTATCTTCATCTATGAAATACGACACCACTCCACTTTGAGTTACCATTGACTTCTTTCAAAGATTAATTTTACATCAGTCGTCCGATTCCGCCTTCAGATTTATGATATGATGGACAACATTTCTCATACACTCAGTTCCAAAAAAAGTGACGCACTTGATATTTGACCTAAACAAAAAATAGTAGGCCAATTCTAATTTTTTTTTATTTGTTGGTAGGTAATGAATTTGTCTTAAAAAAAAATGAAGAGGTGGAATTTTTTTCAAAGCCTCCTTGATAGTGGTGGAATAACTCGAACCATGATTTATTCTTAATTTTTGACTCACCCTGTGTGTTAATTGAGTAGGCATAGAAAGTGCTTACACCTTATATGAAAGAGGCTCCTTTTGCGAGCATTTTGTTCTTTTATTCATTGATTTATCTCTGAAATTTTCCGAATTACAGCTTTTTTGCTGATACCTTACATCTCTGCTTACGCTTATTCCACAAATTGAATTTATTGAAGGATCAGAGTACTCAAAATTGATTGGGTTGTACTCTGGTAGGATCACATTTTCTTTAAAAAAACAAATGCCGTTGCCATAGCAACTAATTTGTTGTATGCCTCCATATTTGACATAAAATGCCTCAAATAAATCCTGAACAAGTAGCAAGATTAGTTGCGTTAGTACACGATGGACGTAGTAAACGTTATGCCACTCGTGCACTGGGAGTTCATGAAGCAACTGCTCGTAGAGCAATCCGCAAGTACGAACAAACAGGAAGCACCGCTCGGAGGGTCGGTTCTGGTCGCCCCCGAAAAACTTCTCCAAGAGATGATCGCTTCTTGAGATTGCGGATTTTACGGAATCGATCAAATACTGCGGTGAATGTTCAGCAAGATCTTCGTCAAATTCGTGATGTTGCAGTAAGTAAGCAGACGGTATGTAGACGTCTAAAAGAAGTTAATTTAAAAGAGCAAGATATGGAAGACAATATCAAAGTATTCTGGTCATTTGTGGCAAAGAAAAATAATACTAAGACTGTTCCGACATTTGTTGAGTTCAAAGGCCACAATATCTCGGAAGATCTTGATATTTGCGAAGCCTTTTCTGACTATTTTTCGTCTGTTTTTGAGCCCTCTGACACCCCGGTCCTAGTAGAACATATCAACTCTCAAGTTTCCGTAACATTGAATCACATATCCATGGAACAGGTTATCAATCAGATCAACACGTTAGATATAAAAAAAGGTGCAGGACCAGATGGCCTACCACCAATATTCATCAAGTCATGTATTTTGTCCATAGCGCAACCACTTTTTATAATATTCAACAAATCGATTTCTGAAAGTATTTTTCCAAGCATATGGCGTCAAGCGCAAGTTACTCCGGTGTATAAAAGTGGAAAAAAGAATCTAGTAGAAAATTATCGGCCTATATCAATGCTCTCAATCCCCGGTAAGTTATTGGAGGGAATTATAACAACCGAATTATTTTTCAAAACAAAATACTTAATTGGAGAGAGTCAACATGGCTTTTTCCGGAACCGTTCGGCTGTCACTAACCTTGTCACATACACGCAGGAAGTTATTGATTTCATAAGCGATAAAAAACAAGTAGACGCCGTGTATACCGATTTCTCCAAAGCATTTGACAAAGTTCACCATGCATCACTTCTAGTTAAGCTGGAGAACATCGGTATACACGGTAACCTGCTTCAGTGGATCAAATCCTACATAAGTAATAGATCTCAGGTTGTCAAAATCAACAATATTTCATCATCACCAGTCAGGGTCACCTCGGGAGTTCCGCAAGGGTCTCATTTGGGTCCCCTACTCTTCAATCTTTTTATACATGACATTGGTTCATGCTTTGAAAACTCACATCATTCTATATATGCTGATGATCTTAAAATTTTCAAGTCAATATCTACCTTGACAGATAGCCAACTACTTCAACGTGATATAAATAATCTACAGAATTACTGTGTTACCAATTACTTATCCTTGAATGTGAAAAAATGTCATTACATCAGATTTTCCCGACTGCCTAACGAAATCAATTTTCTTTATAATATTGACAACAAGTCATTATCCAAAGTAGAAGTCCTGAAAGACCTAGGTGTGATGATCGATTCAAAACTCACTTTTGAGGCACATATTGAGAAAACAGTGAAAAAAGCTCTCAGAAACCTGGGATTTATTTCAAGAATAACTAAATCATTTAAAAATCCAAAGTCGTTGTTAATATTATACAACTCTCTAGTTAGGAGCCACCTCGAGTTCGCATCTATAGTATGGAACCCCTACTATTATAAATACATTGAACGAGTAGAGAGAGTTCAAATGAAGTTTATGAATATACTGTTTTTCAAGTTCAAGAGACCTCAAACTCACTTATCATACGAGAGTCGCTTACAACATTTCAATCTCAGCAAACTTTCCTCTCGGAGAATTGTAAGCTACGTTATATTTCTTTTCAAAATTCTCAGCAACAGAGTAGACAGTAGTTTCATAGTCAACAGACTCTCGTTCAATGTACTCACACACGTTACCCGCTCACATAATTTGTTCTACCTACCAAATCATAAGACGAACTATGCAAGAAGTTCACCTCTATACATGGTACAAGATTTATATAACTCATATTTCAGCCATATCGATCTGTTCAATAGCACTTTACATAGAGTCAGAAAAGAATCTGGACAAGTTTTCGATTTGAATTGATTCATGACGGTATCCA